AACGAGGAAGTTCAGAAAATGCTAACACAGGTATGTCGTATGCAGTAAAGGAATTAACACTTGGATATTTTGGGTTTTTGTACACAGGTAGTTGAAACGCATTATACCAACACCTCACGGTTTACCCGTATTCCGTGGATCCGCATTAATTTTCGCCCGTTTCAAAACCTTTCAAATCAACCGCCAAAGCCGCCTTTTCAAAACCCCACTCGTGACCTATCGTTTCATTTCTGCTCCAACGCTTCACTTCCCCCACGATATTAACACGTGTATGGCCACGATGCACTGTCCACTCCCCTTCCCCACTGTTCCCCCCCTTTTCCCCTGTCTTTTCCATTTCAAATCATCACATGGCCCCAACCCACCCCCTCTCCTTTCGAACCCCGCGCCGTCCTGGTCGGCACACCTCTCGGTCGACCCTTCTCACTCGGCCACCCTCGCGGTCGGCACGCCTCTCGGTCGACCCTTCTCACTCGGCCACCCTCGCAGTCGGCACGCCTCTCGGTCGACCCGTCTCACTCGGCCACCCTCGCGGTCGGCACGCCTCTCGGTCAACCCTTCTCACTCGGCCACCCTCGCGGTCGGCACGCCTCTCGGTCGACCCTTCTCACTTGGCCACACGCCTCTCGGCCGATGCCTCCTGCTCGGCCACCCTCACGGTCAGCTATTCGGTTCGAATTTCTCTTCCTTATTACTATTCCCTTCGTTGGACTAAAGCTGCACTCGGAAATGGGGGACTACTGACATGGACAGGCCCACGAGGCATACAGCCCACGGCAAACCGCCCCGAACCCATCACCTCGGACCCGTAGCATAACTTAATTGGCAAAGCCCAGGACAGCTGGAGTCCACCTGGACTGTATCACCCAAGGGCATTCGGACACATGACAGATGAGACACAGGCCACATTAGCAGACAAAGATCTGCCGAGTTATTGCCACAACACATTACCATTAATGCAGCCCATCGCAGCATTTATTACGACAACACCTCCCCGTCGGAACAGAGCCCCCTCACCCTGAACAAGGTAAGCTACGACACAGGCTTTCGGCGAAAAGGGGGGCACGTCACAAAGGACAGTGAAATGATTACCAAAGGATATAAGCAACAAGAGAAGCACAAGAATAAGATTAAGCTTTTCATTTTCTCCATCTTCTTCGCTACATTTTCCTGTCTTCCTTCTACTAATTCTCTCGCCGGAGGGTTCACTGGGGGACTGCCCCGTTCCCCTTTGGGCTTGCTTGCAGGTCATTTGACGGAATCACCACTCGAAACCAGAACCTGAAGAACCTGGGCCAGCCTGACCCATCCACTCGGGACGGCCTGTATCATCACTTTGTATTTCTCAATTGATCCATCAGTGTCATGACCCGAACCCGCCCCCATGGGTTAAGGACATCACCGGCCAGTAATCATAAGATTACCTACGGCCTCAAACCAAAACAACGTATCTTAACAGAGTTAATGGGGGCCAAATGGAAGCAATTTAAAACTTTGTCCTTAGAGCTGTGCTTACATGGCACATTAAAACAAACCATACACATATACATTAATAACTCACAATAGATACACAGTACCATAAAGTTCTGTACAGACAGGATCATCCAAAAGTAAGTCAACCCATGAAAACTATATACAGGCATATTCAAATACTTCGCCAACATAACAACTTCGAACAAAATGGCAAAAGGCGAAGGTGAGTCTCATGCGTGAGACGCATAGGCTGACTTTCCAAAACTCGGTTGTCCCATACAGGCTTCACTGGGGCTGGGTCTGGACCTCTCTTAGCTCACCTACAAACACATGAATGAGCGTGAGCGAAAGCCTAGTGAATGATATCAAATAAAGAAAATGCATTGGAACATTATACATCAGATGGCCTTGGGCCCAATTTATTCATGTCAAACTAGCCTTTGGCCTTTTCGAACGTTCATATCAGACTGGCCTTTTGGCCTTATCAAACTTTCGTATCAGACTGGCCTTCCGGCCCTTCCAAACTTGTCATATCAAACTAGCATTTAAGCCTTTCAAACTTGTCATATCAAACTGACATTTAAGCCTTTCAGACTTTCATTTCAAACTGGCATTTAAGCCTTTCAGACTTGTTATATCAAACTGGCATTTAAGCCTTTCAGACTTTCATTTCAAACTGGCATTTAAGCCTTTCAGACTTGTCATATCAAACTTGTCCACCATTCAACATTAATGAACTTTACAAAACTCACATAGAAGTAAGCAATTGGACAATAATGTATTTCAGATATTACTCACAGTGATCGGCTTGTGGATTTGCCCTGGAGCTTGACCCTACACATCATATAACACATATGGGTCACAATTAATTTAATCCGTTCTTTAATTTACATTTTCCTCTTTAGGCTCCATTCTTATCTCTTTAATTCAATTACAATGGTCAATGCATGCCTAAGAGTACTTAGAAGTGAAAGAGAACAGAAAACGGAACTCAGAGTGCATAAGCAAAATTTCAGAAAACAGGGTCCTCGCTCGAGCGTGGACTTCCCCGCTCGAGTGGAACCTTAAGGCCTGCAAAAGTATTGGATAGGTGAAATTTACGCTCGAGCATTAATTATGGCACTCGAGCGAAAGACCTCTCTACATGTCTCCTCGCTCGAGCGTGAACTTCCCCGCTCGAGCGGACACTATGTCTGCAAAAAGTGCTGGATGTATCATTTTTATGCTCGAGCGTTAACTTAGACGCTCAAGCGGAAGTTCATTCCACAAAGCTTCCCGCTCGAGCATGAACTTCCATGCTCGAGCGGACATCATGGTCTGCAGAAAATACTGGGAGCACGACATTCACGCTCGCGCGACGGTTTCCCCGCTCGAGCGGACATCAAATTTCTGGGTTTTCCCAGATTGTGTTCTTGAGCTCAAATTCGATTTTCTACCCAACCTTTCTTGCATATAACAGCTCAAACTCCAAATATACTTGTGCTAACATGATATAAACACCAAATTACAACATTTAGAAGCTTAATTTCATAAATCAAACACATGCATGGCTCATTTCTCACCAAATTCTTTATCAACATAATAATTTCATGCATTTAACACTTATACCTTTTTGAATGGCACATGCATGTGGCTTCTTACTCTCATTCTCAACTTAGATGATACAAATGGTGATCATAACATGAGTTTTAACCAAAACTCTACATGAATCATGTATTTCAAGCTCAAACATGCAAATTTAAAACAATTTCTTACATGCATGCACATATTGGCCCTCAATTCAACAAAACCAAATCAATTACATCATGCTCAAACAAATTCATGTTCTTGACCATTATTCCAATTTGCATTCACAAAATTACAACTTAACATTCATGAATCCACTTACCTAGAGGCTCAATTCTTCACAAATTATGGTTAAATCTAGAGTTGATCTTCAATTTATCAAGCTTCAAAATCAAACTCACAATCTCCTCCTCTCTTTCTCTAGCCGGCCTCTTTCTCTCTCCTTAGAGTTGAAATCAGCCCAAAATGTAACAAAGGAGGAGAATTGAGGGTGTATTGCCTCTCCAACAAAACCCATTAATTCCAATATAATATTACTAAAGTAATTGGGCACCAATTTAACAATTTAATCAACTTAATCTGGTCCGAATCAATTTTTCAATTAAACTTCACCGTAGGCTCTAAAAATTATGCCAATCACAATGACGCAATCAATTTCGGGTTCTGTGGCCGATAAGGCCTCCAATTTAATTTCCAAAGCAAATAGTCTAACAGATATTCCTACGGTGAACAGATAGAAATTCAAAACCACATATTTTCACATAATAGCACACAAAATCGTACTAAACACATAATCATACTCATATTAAGGACCAATTAGCATACTACAGAACAGGGGTATCACAATCAGATTTCATTTTTCTCTTGAATATCCATTTATATCCAAGAGGCTTACATCTTGGTAGAAGATCTACCAATTCCCAAGTATAATCCTGTAAGATGGAGTCAATTTCACTATTAATAGCTTCCTTTCATAAATGAGCTTCTGGCGTGGACATGGCTTCCTTAAATGTTCGAGGCTCATTTTCTAGTAGATAAGTCAAGAAGTGAGGACCGAAGGATTTACTAGTCATAGCTCTCTTACTACGCCTAGGTTCTTTATCATTTGTTCCTTCTTAATTATCCTTAATCTGTCTTTGACTATGATCAAATGTACTTTCATAAGAACATTTAAGAGAATTTGACTCTTGTATTGATTCACAAGAAAATATATGTTCAAAGAAAGATGCATTTCTTGACTCGATTATAGTATTGACATGCACGTTTGGATTATCACTTTTGTATACTAAAAATCGATAAGCACTACTATGATGTGCATATCCTATGAATATGCAATCAATAGTTTTAGGTCCTATTTTGACCCTTTTAGGATCGAGAATAGCCATCTTAGTTAAACACTCCCACACTTTCAAATATTTGTAAGAAGGATCTCTACCTTTCCACAATTCATATGGAGTTTTAAGAATCTTCTTGTGAGGCATTTTATTCAAAATATAATTTGCGGAAAGAATTGTTTCCCCCCATAAGTTTTGGGGTAAACCTGAGCTAATCAACATGGCGTTCATCATTTCTTTCAATGTATGATTTTTTCGCTCAGCAACTCCATTTTGCTGTGGTGCATAAGGTGCAGTAGTTTGATGAATGATTCCAAGTTGTGAACATAATGTTCCAAAAGGAGCATCATATTCATCACCTCGATCACTTCTTAATGCCTTAATCTTCCTCCTAAGTTGATTTTCAACCTCAGATTTATATTCAATGAATTTTTCTAAGGCTTCATCCTTGCTTCGTAATAAATATACATAGCAGTATCTCGTGCTATTATCAATAAAAGTGATAAAGTACTTCTTGTCCCCTCGTGTTTGAACAAATTTCAAATCACAAATATCATTGTGAATTAAATCCAGTGGCTCAGTACTTCTTTCAACGGAATTAAATGGTGCCTTAGTAAATTTTTCCTCAACACATACTTCACATTTATGATTTGAGTTAATAGAAAAATTAGATAGATAGTCTAAATGAATTAATCTATGCAACGAATCATAGTTAACATGTCCTAATCTACCATACCATAAATGAGAAGACTCAAACAAATAAGCAGAAGATGTGGTGTTCTTATTAATACTAGGAATTACAGTCAGTACATTCATTTTGAATAACCCATCACACAGATATCCCTTCCCTACATAAACACTATCCTTACACAAAACAAATTTATAAGAAACAAAAACCAATTTAAAACCATTCTTGCTTAACAATGATTCAGACACCAAGTTTTTTTGAATTTTTGGAACATGCAAAACATTGTTAAGCGTTAGCTCCTTGCCCGAAGTCATCTTGAGCACAATCTTTCCTTGTCCTTCAACTTTTGCAGTAGAGGAGTTTCCCATGAAGAGCTACTCGTCATCCTTAACTTGTTGATATGTAGTAAACATTTTCTTATCTGCACACACATGTTATGTTGCCCCGGTGTCTACCCACCATTCCTTGGAGTTTGATCCCATAGATTTACTTCAGACACAACTGCTACAAGGTTCATCTCAGTCACTTCGTTGGGCAAAGTCTCCAATTCAGTTATGTGTGCCTGTTCATACTTCGTCTTTTTGAAAGGATCTTGTTGATCTTTGCAATTCCGACAATCTTTGGCCCGATGTCCTACCTTGATGCACACAAAGCACTTTCCCTTGAACTTTATAGATCCAATCTTAAAACTCTGACCAGTATTTTGTTTAGAGTTTTGCCTAGGGCGCTGTCTTTTTTTCTCCTTTTGTCCTTGCTCCAATATGTTAGCCTTTGCTCTGAAAATAAATCCCAGATTTCTTTTCTTATCTGCATCACGATTATCTTCCTCAATTCGTAATCGAACAATCAAGTCTTATAACTTCATTTCCTTGCGTTTGTGCTTCAAGTAGTTTTTGAACTTTTTCTAAGATGGTGGCAGTTTCTCAATGATAGCTGCCACTTGGAAAGATTCGCTCAAACTCATACCTTCTGCATAAATTTCATGTAAAATTAATTGAAGCTCTTGGACTTGACTAATTACGGCCTTTGAGTCCACTATCATGTATTCAAGAAAACAGCCAACCACATATTTATTGATTCCCGCATAATCCATTTTGTATTTCTTGTCCAAGGATTCCTACAATTCTCTAGCCGTTTGTAATGGACTATACACGCTATACAACGTGTTGTCCAATCCATTCAAAATATAGTTTTGGCACAAAAAATCAGAATGCTTCAACGCCTCAACTACGACAATTGCTTGTCGATCAGTTTTGTCTTCGCTCAAGGTGGGTGCATTCTCTTTGACAAATCTTGCCAAATTCAGAGTTGTAAGATAAAATAATATTTTCTGTTACCATCTCTTAAACTCTGTTCCATTGAATTTTTTTGACTTTTCATTATGGTTTACCGAGACAGTGGTGGGAAGTGAAGTAATCACAGGAGAATGAACCACGACAGATGCAGATGTCGGGTTTGCATTCCCAGCACTGAGTACAGTCTCAGTTGCCATTTAAATGTTCTACTTTTTGATTCAGCAAAACAACAAAACCAAATAACTTCACAATAAGAAAGTAACTAAGATAGAAGAACCTCAAAATCCAGGAAATCAATAACTGATAAAACAAAACAAAACAAAAACGATGCAAACAACACTACAATATATATATATATATATATAAATAAAGTCATTATGTTTTGTTACACTTAACAAACAAACAGAGGCACGTATGAACAAAATATAAAAACTACATATATATACCAAGCAACAGATTCAAGCAATATATTAATATATGAAATATAATCTAAGAAACAACCTGAAGTGCAATATAAAGAAACCATAAAGTGTTTGATCTGGGCAAGCCACAAACAAAGTGCACTAAACCAAATAAATAAATAATGGTGGTCCACAAATGACGTTTCACCAAAAAACAATCTTTTTAATTTTTTTTTAATTTTTTTCATTTATGCGTTTGAAAAAGAAATTGGACAAACAGATTCAAACAGACACAACTATAATATATATGTATATCTAATATAATTCACAATGTTAACAAAAAATACAACCCAAAATTCACTACGCCAAAACAGGGCATTAACGGCGGTGTTTTTAACGGCGGTAACGAAAACCGTCGTTAAAAGTACTATTAACGGCGGTAACGAAAACTGTCGTTAAAGGTATCATTAACGGCGATTTTGTTACCGCCGTTAAAAAAACCGCCGTTAATGCCCACTTTTAACGGCGGTAACAAAATCGCCGCTAATTCCCAATCATTACCGCCGTTAATGACAGCGGTCTTTGCCGGCGAAACTCGGGCTGTTGAAGAATTCACAAAAAT